ATAAGCTTTAAAGTCATGTGATAATAATTGACTGTTATAGATATCCTGCACCATAAAACATAATTATAAAGATTGATAGGTGCTTTAAATAAAAAATTTATTTTGAGATGATGATGATATAAAATTTCCTTTTTAATTACAAAACTAAAATTGGTGTAATGTGTATTAAGAACCCTGAACACACCGAAACCATTTTAGTATTAGTATAATAATAATGCATGCCCATTTTTTAAAAATTGGTATCGGTCTAAAGACCTCCTATTGCTGCGCCACGTGCTCAAATTTCAAAAATTGTGATTCGTTCAAAAATGCAATAAATTTTTTTAAAAAAGTGTTACACGTGATTTTGGCTAAAAAACTATTTTCCTTACTGCCAAATTTAGATATGATGGTCGAATATTAGGCTAAATTTAGTAATGATAATCAAACATAGTCTAAATTTAGCAATGATACTAGCGCTCAAATTTCTCATGAGCATAGTAAAGTACATGTTTTAAAAAAGAATAGAACTCTACAATAAATAATTTTTTGGAGAAAATCTCTTCATTACATTAAAAGCAGAAACCTATTTTACCAACTAATGAGGCTATTTTTTAAAAGGTAGGACAGAAAATGACTTCTATACTTTTAGAATTTGCCCAAAATTTAGGAGGTCTTTAGACCAAGCAACTATATTAGTAAAAAAATATTTATTTAAGCTTTTAAAATCATGTGATTTTATGTGGGCCATACTGCAACAAAATCAGAAAGAAATCTCAAGGGTTAATGTCACTAATAATTTTTTTTTAAGTTGAATATATTTTTTATTTTTAAAATTATTTTTGAATAATATTATTAGTTTCCATTTTTTATTGGTGTGCTCAAATCTTCACATAAACATCACCACTATTAGTATTACCGTAAAGTCTGGAAAGATAGCACCCCCTACTTTAAAACAATTGAGCGTCAATATAAAAAAAATGTTACACGTATGTAAAAAGGGGATGCTATCTTTCCAGACTTTACGGTAGTATTATTTTCATCAGATATACATACTATTATTTGTGACAACAAAGCAATTTCAATATTTTCTTAAGATTATCTTTTACCAATTTGGGAGCTTCTTAAAGAACAAAAACAACATCCATCGTACAGTATAGCCCTCGTTTCAACGGGGTGGCTGGACATATAAGAAAATTTTATTTAAAATCACTAATTATAATTGCAATTGTAATCTCATTTCAACGGATTTTATGTTTTCTAATAATAATAATAATAATAACAACAACAACAATAATGTTAATGTGTAACAAAGATTTTTGAAACGCGAATTTAATTATAATCCATTAAACAAGGGTTGTATTGCAGTATTATTGTTTTGATTTTTTAGACATTAATATGGAAAATTTCCTTTTAACTTCATAACATCAAATATTATTCCTAATTATTTTTAATTCAATAACAAAACAATTAAGCCCAAAGATTTCCAATGGCATTCCTTCATTATCACATGAAATGAATTCCTTATAAACATTTTAATCACCTTCTATGTGTTAACATTAATACATCAAGAAATACAATTTCATATTTAAAACCAAAGTTTCCAAATACCAGAAGTTAAAAATTATATTTTAATGTTTTCATGTCAGAAATACATTCTTTAAATATACTTTTCAACCACTGATCATTATCATTTTAAATATCATATATTAAGATCGGGGAACATTCATTAAAAGATGATGAAAAAGATATTCCTTTTTTTTTTAATTTTAGAAATATTGATTTGGTTATTACAGTGATTAAGTGATAATATGAAATTGGACGGGTTTCTTTTCGTAAATCATTTCCGATTTATTTATAATTTTCCGTGATCCATAAAATCACTATTACTATTTTACAGTACCATGATTATCAAAATCATTTTCTCTTCAAATGACCAACGTTTTTATCAAAAGTTACCTTTTACTTTGATATTATTGTCCTGACAATTAATTAATTAAATCATTGGTTTAGTTTAAATCAAAATAAATCTTATTTGTTCTAATATAAATTTTTCTCTTTTTTAAAAATATAAATTTTTTTTAATCATAAACAATACTGATGTAGATATAAATAGTTCATAAAATTCAAAAAATATGGTGGCGGCCAAAAAATGCAGTTTGGCAACATTTTGAATGTTATCCTTCAAAACATCCAGGACATTTTGGAGCCAAATGCAAAAC